ACCGGCCGAACTGAATCCAAAGAGGAGGTGATGGCATCAACAGGAAGCGAAACAGAGAGAGAGAGAGAGAGAGAGAGAGAGAGAGAGAGAGAGAGTAGTGGGTGGCTATACATATCTGGAAAATAGCATTAGACAGGTAAGCTTAAAACAGCTGAGCCAAGGACCCAATGGACATGAGTAGTGAGAGTTTAAAGCGGTGCTAATTATTAAAGACGTGTTAAACACTCACATGACGCATGAACTTGTGTTAAACGCATTAAGCACTGCACTCCACTGAAGTGAATAATTACTTCAAGTATAAATACCCAAGAAAAAACAAATTCTGGCACCTGATAAATCATTTTCCTAAGAAACTACTTGTAATTTTAGCTCAGACTACACCTGCCCCTTTTTGAAGTGATGCCATTTTGTGGAGGCAATGGACAATATGTATTTCTTGCCTGTGGAGGGGTGGGTGTGGAGGACAGGTGTCCTGTGGGTGGGGTTGGTGTCGAGGAGGGCCGTCCTGCAGGTGGGGTTAAGGTGGAGGCCGGGTGCCCTGTAGGAGGAGTAGGATTCCGGCTTCCAAACATAATTTCCTCTGTGATGTCCTTTCCACCCTGGTTGGGGTCTCGGATCCGAATCTGAGAGAACAATGGCGCAAAACAACAAATAACTCACTAAAGCATCCGGGTCGATCGCAGTTCCCTAGAGGGCTGTCAGAAGTACCAGTACTTCAGTACCAACTATATTTTAAGGCATTGTTTGCTGAAAACATTCCTTTTACATTACTTTATTAAACCACCATTCAAAAGTTTGAAGTCAGAAAAAATTTTTTGATTACATTTTTTTTTTAAGCATCAAATCAGTGTGATTTAGAATGATTTCTGAAGAATCATGTGACACTGAAGACTGGAGTAATGGCTGCTGAAAATTTAGCTTTTCCATTACAGGAATAAATGAAATTTTAGAAATATTAAATGGAAAACAGTTACTTTAAATTGTAATAATATTTCAAACATTACTGTTTTACTGTATTTTTGATCATTTTTGAGACTTCTTTCAAAAATATCAAAACATTTTACCCAACTCCAAACTTTTAAATGGTAGCATAACTCTAAATTAAAATATACATTTCAAAATTTGATTTTATGTTTCATTGTTCTGTTTACTTGAGAAAAGACTCATGACTCCAGAGCTATATGACATTTTAATTTAATTTGTTAATACTTATAAGAATATACAACTTCACTTACAGGAGTATTTTCAATAGCACATTCTTTTTTGTTGGTCTTGAGAACTGAAACATTTCATTGGGATGTGTATCCAGAGAGTTTGATTTATGTGGTGAATTCAAAATCAATCTTTGAAAAATGCTTAGATATGAGCTGACATTTTAATTGGCTGGATGGAACAGATATAATCTTTCAAAAAGGCATCAAGCTCACTGACTTAGTAGACCTTTCTGGAAATGTAACACATTCAACTGGGTTCCATTTTTCTAAATCCCATCATTAAACCCCAATACTAAAGAGTTACTTCCCATGATTTATTTTAAAATGTATGTGGCATTTTGCAGGAGGCTGGGTGATTTCTAACTGGCTTAATTCTCACTTTGGCGTGGGATAAAACACCTCGGCTATGCCAACCTCCCAGCATGCAACAAAACCACCACATCAAACAGTCTGATCCAAATATGTCAGGAGTTGCATGGCACACACATTGACTACATTCCTGGACAAAATCAATACTTACTCTTCATCTTAAATTCTGGAAATTTAATAGACTAGGATGACATAATTACACAAAAAGCCAAGGCCAATACCAGGGTAAAACTAATACTTGATGAATATCCCTTTTAACAGCATTTCGCATTTAATATTGGGTCTGCCAGCCAGGGCCTTTGGGATTAAATCCAAGCCTTATCAGTCTAAAATGAATTGAAAACTAAGTGGATCCCTTGGTGTTTCTAAAATGAGGCAGAGTGTTTCAGGTACTCACTGGTTTCTTTTCACGCTTGGTTGGTGGAGGTGGCAGTGGTGCAGGCACTATGATGGGTGGAGAGGGAGGGTACACTGTCTGGCCGGCGTAATATGGCGGCCCGGCAGCTGTTGTTGGAAAAGAGATGGAAGGAAGGAAAAAAGTGAGTCACGTCGCTATGTGAGCTGCTTTCACATGAGATCTAAACAGCCTCGGAGTGAATCGCTTTCTGGAAACAGGGTCATTTCTTAGTTAGTTAATCAGACACACACTGAAACTACCTGGAGCTAATATAAACCAGCTGGGTGTGATGCAAGCACGCTCACACTGAAATGTGCACTATAGAGAGGCCTGTACTTGCCATAAGGAGCAGGGTATTCCCCAGGGCCGGGTCCTGGGTAGAAGGTTCCAGACCCTGGCGGCTGGATGGCATATTGCTGCGGGTGTCCCACGTAAGGTGCACTATGACGATACTAAGAGAAGAGGTGGAGAATCTCATTTAAATATATATTTATATACGTGTACAACTGCACAAAAATACAATATTTTAATATTCACTGAGCTTCGATTATATTAATTTCTACTATACAAAACAGCAAATGACTTTTGTTAATCATCTGATCAAAATTTTATATAGCCTTAAATGCATTTAAAGAATATGTTTTGTTAAGCATCCCATGTGAATTTTATTTAAAGAAATGAAAGAAAAATACTTAATACTTCAATACTTATAAACATTTAATATAAATATATTTCATGAATATTTCATGAATTAAACATATTTAAACATTACATGGTAATACACAAACAATTCCTTAAATATGTTGTATATTAACATTTTGTCATATTTACTATAAAATGTTTAATATATAATCATTTTATATATGTAATATAAAAATACAATTATAAACCATACAAATTCTACCATACAAATCTAAATAAAACACAATACCATACATAAAATGAAACCCATTTATGCCATAAAAAAACATCCCATTCAGGTTTTATTTATAAATAAATTAAATAATGAAACAGATATAATGGCAAATAAAATTGCATTAAAAACATTTGATAAATCTCTCAAATTAAAAATTCCATAATATTAAGGGTTTTTCCATCGCTGTGGGAATCCTGAAATTATTTTGTGTATACAATCCATTTTTGGTGATTTCACAGTAACAGATTTACTGACTCTTTACCTGAGGAATGTAGTATTGGTGTGTCTGGGTAGGAAAGGGCATATGCGTCATAGTCATCATGATGGGCTGGTTGGGAGAATAAACCGTAGCCGTTGGGGTCTGTGAGCCCGGCCGAATGGAGGGGCTGTTGGTAGGAAGGGCAGGCCGTGCTGGCTGTAACTGAGTCCTGTGGAGGAACTGAGGAGGAAGTCAAAGAAATGAGAGTTAAGTAGAAACAGAGAGAGAAGAGAAACAAGTCAGTGTTGACAAGTCAGTTCACCTCAGGACATTCTCCTGTGTCTGTCAGGCAGTGTATTCAAATCATGAGGCATTTGAATTTGCAGTTAATTGACAATCTGATATTCAGACGCTGGAACAGCAGTGATCATATATGCTAGATGAATTATATCAATTCTGCTCATCAAACAGACACAATGAAACAAACATAAACACACACACACACACAGCAGCCTGGAGAAATGAGCAGTATTCTCATTCTCCGCTGTAACAGGGTGGTGGCACAGCTTTGGCACAACGGTTTATTCATCGGGAGAATACTGCATGCCTGCTGGTGGAGTCGTCCCCTCCCCCATCATTACCTCCCCCGCTTTCCCTCTATTTGTCTCGCTCTCTCACTCAGCACAGCAAATATTACCTCAGCAAACCCAGTCAGTGGGCGATAGCAGCCGGGCAGCACTGGAGCAAGAGGTGACCTCTCTCTCTCTGCCTGATTCTATAGCCCCATTCACACCATGAACGATAACTATAAAGATAACGATATTAGCGTCCACACCAGCGAACAATATCGTCTGTTTATTTAAATTCCTGAGCTCATTATAGCAGGATTGATTCTGATTGGGTGTCAATGTTTTTAACGTTCATCAACTGGAAAAAATCGTTCTGAAAGGGATTCCAATGATATTGTTTCTCTGTGCCTTTATCGTTATAGCTGTGTTGTGGACTCTGCTATTCTTTAATATTGAGAACGATTTTTAGTACTGTATCTTTATCGTTATCTTTAGTTATCGTGCTTGGTGTGAACGGGCCTTACACATACGATATGCAAACACCATATGCAGTTTTTCTCATAGGATTAATAAAGTCTGAATGTCTGTCTGTCTGTGTGGTTGATTCTTCCAGTTGGAGACATTTTCAATCCCTTGAAATGATTGTAAGTAAAAAACATTATAGTTTGTAATATATTTAGACATTTAATTTTAACTATTTAATTGTGACTATTTTTTTAAATTTAATATTTTGGGCTTACCCAGACTTTATTATTATTATTATTATTTTGGTTATTATTATGTTTTGCTTTAGGGTCCTAATAGTCAGGACAGTAAAACTCTTTCTGAGAAATGTAATTTCTTACTTCCTCTCATTTAAAGCCAAATCCATCAATGCAGCATCATGGACAAATTCACCACCTTTAACAATAAATGTCATTGCAACTACTGTCGAAACTTCAGGTTGCCTGTTGTGAGCAATGTTCCAGTTATTAAGCAGAATCTGCAGGTTTATTTGAAAACTAGTGGAGAAATTAAAGGACATTATTTTCTAAAGTCTACTGCTGATTTTTGGTGCGCTACTCACTCCCGGGTGTCTGTCACAACAGACAGATGATTGCTTTAGTAAATAGTTCCAGTAGAAAACAGGTTCTACAAAATGCTCGATTCCAAGACTAGATGTTGTGATTTCACACCATTTTGCCCCAACCATCATACACAATAAAAAAAAAATCCATAACACTAAAATGTTGATTATTATGGCCATGCTTAGAAGCTTATTCCATTCCATCTTTTTCAGGATTTCAAATAAAAAATAATAATATTAGGTGTTAGTATTATAATAAAAAATTATAGTTTTCTATTTGAATATTTTTTCTATATATTTCAGAATATATTTTCTAGTTAATATATTAAAATTGTACTTAATTTTTAATTATTTTTAATTTATTTCAGTGTGATTTATAAGTTGAATTTTCAGTAGCTATTAGGCCCTTTCATAAGATATAGTACTAAAAATCGTTCTCAGTATTAAAGAATAGCGGAGTCCACACCACAGCTATAACGATAAAGGCACAGAGAAACGATATTGTTGGAATCGCTTTCAGAACGATTTTTTTCCAGCTGATGAACGATAAAAACTTTGACACCCAATCCGAATCAATTGTATATTGTATATTGCTCTATAATGAGCTCGAGAATTTAAAGCGGCAGACACGCGTGGGCTAAGAATAAACAGACGATATCGTTCACTGGTGTGGACGCTAATATCGTTATTTTTATAGTTAGCTTTATAGTTATCATCCTTGGTGTGAACGGGGCTTTACTCTAGTCTTCAGTGTCACATGATCCTACAGAAATCTTTATAATATGCTTATCTGATGCTTAACACACATTTCTTATTAGTGTTGAAAACAGTTCTGCTGTCTAATATTTTTGTGGATACATTTCCACAATTTGCCACCATTTCCAAGGCAAAAGGTTATTTTCAGTTCTCTCTTAGACAACATCCAACCTAATCACACGGCTCAGGTACACCCAAAAACATCCAACAACATGGCTCAGAATAATCCAAGCCTATCATTAAGCAAGCCTCTGAGAGATTTCCCAAAGCCACGAGTGTGTGTAGAGACAAGAACAATAAATGCAGCAGACGCCCCTTGATGGGTGGCTGAAAAGTGATTTAAACACCACAGAACTGATCCGCTCGTGTCTGAAAGCAGAGCGGAGATTACACATTACTGTCTGTGCTCAGAGTGTCAGTCCTCCAATAAAAATGATGTTGAGAGTCTTGAGTTGTGCTCTTTGGAGAGCATTTATCATTATGTGACTATCAAAAAGCTCAGGAAGAACTGGATGAGTTGATTTCTTTAAATACACAGAAAATAAAAGACTGACCCAAGCTGGGTGTCACTATGTACCCTATAAAATGATGTGGTTACGGGACTGGACTGGCATGCTTCACTGTAAATGGATGCACTATGTGTGAGATCGTGTAATAGAGTGGCATGCTGGGTAGGGCTGCACAATTAATTGAATTTCTAATCGCAATTACAATTATGGATGCCACAATTACGTAATTGTTCAAAGCGGCAATTAATCGTTCAAAGTCCACTTATGTTATTCTGCACGCTTAAGATATGTTTTTTTCTTTCTACATGTTATCTTAAGTGCGTGGAGACGTGCTGATATCGCGTTTGGATAATCGTCAATTATGATTTTTGTCATAATCGTGCAGCCCTAATGCTGGGGCAACTCACACTAGTAGCTGAAAAGAAGATCTGACACTAAAACAACTTGCTGAGAGAAACAGCTCTCTAATTAAATCTACGGCATATGAGGACACAGTACGCTCTGTTTGCATAAGGACAAAAGGAAACAACGGATTCAGCAACAAATGAGCAGAGATGCCAAGTAAAGATGGTTAATGGCTGAACAAATGCTCAGAAAAAGATGTGGGTAAGTTAAATTACAATCATTCCAAAAGTTAAATTTTTTTGTGACTCCAAAATGAAATAAAACCAAAAATGTACTTTAATTTTTTATACAGAACCTGTCCTCATAAAACACCTAGAATAAATCTCATTTCGCTACTAAAATGACCATTTAACTCACTGTGGTTTTTATTTAATAAAAATTAAATACAGCTAAAACTAAAACTATAAATCTCGGGGGGGGATGGGGGTATTTATAAAGTATTTAATACTTCATAAAATTAATTTTTTTTAAACTGTCATAAATATTGGTTTATAGACCTTCGGGTCAAAGGTGAAAACAGAGACCTGACAAAGGAAACAAGAACGAAAAGAAACAGAAACAGAAGACCACCACTGGAGAACAAACATTGCTTGTGTGTGTGTAGTGGGTGATTTCCTCTCACTGTGACTCATACAGGCCGACAGGGGATCGAGCGCAGCCTGGGGCGAAGACCACTCTGTGCTAAACTACTGTCACAATGCCGTACAAGTGTGTGCGGAAGAGAGAGAGCGTGTGTGTGTGTGGAAATGCCAGGGAGGGATGGAAGCGGAGACTTGGTGTCTGTGTGTTTGTAAGGGACAGAGATAAGAATGAATGCATGTATCTGAATGGCAGAAAGAGAGAGAAAGAGGGCATGAGAGATTGTGGATCTATGACAGGGATAGAAAAGAGCATTAGAGAGCATGAGAGAAAATAATAGAGGGGAACAAATTGAATGTGGAACGTGAATGAAATAAATGGATGCTCCTATATATATTAGGGTGATTCTGTAACTATGGGCATTTTGCAAATAAATTATGGATTAAGGGAGGGATAGGGAAGTCGTGGCCTAATGGTTAGAGAGTCGGACTCGTAACCCAAAGGTTGTGGGTTCGAGTCTCGTACCGGCAGGGATTGTAGGTGGGGGGAGTGAATGTACAGCGCTCTCTCCCACCTTCAATACCATGACTGAGGTGCCCTTGAGCAAGGCACCGAACCCCCAACTGCTCCCCGGGCGCCGCAGCATAAATGGCTGCCCACTGCTCCGGGTGTGTGTTCACGGTGTGTGTGTGTGTTCACTGCTGTGTGTGTGCACTTTGGATGGGTTAAATGCAGAGCACTAGTTCAACTGTAATTTTATAAAGCTACGAGAATACTTTTTGTCAGTCTTCCCTGTCAGTACCACGCATGCGTGTGATGCTGCTCACTCAGAAGATGGCGTTCTGACATAGAACTTGGATGCACTGCACCTTGTTTGCAAGCAGAGGAATGTACACGCATACGCCATGTTACTCTCGTGAACACGCATCAAAGACTGACATGGAGAAATTGTTGAATAAAGTTGTTATTTTTGTTTTCTTTTTACGCACAAAAAGTATTATTGTAGCTTCATAATGTTATGGTTGAACCACTGATGTCACATGGACTATTTTAATGATGTCCTTACTACCTTTCTGGGCCTTGAACATGGTAATTGCGTTGCTGTCTATGCAGGGTCAGAAAGCTTTCGGATTTCATCAAAAATATGTTAATTTGTGTCCCAAAAATGAACGAAAGTCTTGTGGGTTTTGAACAACATGAGGGTGAGTAATTAATGACAGCATTTTCATTTTTGGGTGAACTATCCCTTTAACAAGCCCAAGGCTGGATTATTTGATCAAAAACACAAAATATTATTATAATTCAAAATAACTGTTCTATGTGAATATATTTTAAAATGTAATTATTCCTGTGATGGCAAAGCTGAATTTTCAGCATCACTACTCCAGTCTTCCGTGTCACATAATCCTTCTGAAATCATTCTGATATGCTGATTTGCCACTCAAGAAACATTTATTATTAACAGTTGTGCTGCTTAATATTTTTTTTCTTTGATCAATAGAAAGTTCAAAAGAAAAGCATTAATTTAATGCATCCGTACTGAACAAAAGTATTTATTTCTTTAAAACAAGTCACTGAATTAAAATATATTCAATATATATCTCTATATTAAAATTAATATATAAATATATTATCACAAGTGCTAGAATCTTTCATCATGCACCACAGAGGCTTCTGACCTATATGTTCTTCATTTCTCTTGCTGACCAACATTCAACACCAGCCAACTATTCCAGCCTCTGCTCTGTGTGTGTGTGTGTGTGTGCGTGTGTGTGTGTGTGACACTCCCTTTCCACTCTCTCCTATTTCTGTTTGTTTTCTAATGGCCTGTAGGCATCAGTTTTACCCAGTCTGCAGTGGAAGCGAGCTGGGACTTGCCACAGCCACAGGGGAGAAATGAAACCTTAACTCAGCTCTTTTAACATCAGCACAGATGTCAAAGCTTCTTTCACTGCTGCACATTACATAGTCAAGTGCTGTTCTATAAGGTGAACCCTTCACAGACCTCTGTACATTGTTATGCTTTTTGCTTTATTTCCCCTCTAAACAAAAGTATTAAGGCAAAAAAAGGTCCACTGTATATTGTCCATAATGTAGCGATACATGAAACATTTCACACACAGAAGTAATTTTCTGATTCTGAACCCACTGCAAAATCTGCATGGGAAAATTCTTGGTTGTGATTGATTTTGTCTGTGAAAATTCGCCAAACAATAGTAAAAGTGACAGCACCTTTACACTCAAGGTGTGGTGGCATATACAACTGCTCGGCAAAAATTACACAGACGAAATCCGGTCATCTCAATAGGAATCCACATTATCAGGAGTTTTGTGTGAGGGCGAAAAAGTTGGTCACACAAATCCGTCACGTTCAATAATGGAAAGCTGCTTGATTTGAATGTGACTTCTGTGTGAGCTTCATTAATTGCTACACTTGACAATGAACAATGGAGCTCTTGCAGCAATCTCGCCAAAAGTTTGCTAATGTGACCGCACCTTAAGGCTTTCCTTATAGTTTGTGTCAGTATCGTACTGCAAATCTTGTTGTTTCCTGTGATTTTAATTCTGGTGCAATTAAATTTAAGCCACTGGAAAGAGAGAGACATGTGGCAGGTTGGGGCAGAAAGTCACAGAACTTTCCTTAGAGGTCAGATGCTTGTGGACGCACTCGCATGGGCTTGTGGCTACACGCAAAACGCATAAACAAATCATTAGCAACAAATGACAAACGAGTTTCTCCTTGTAATGAGACACCAAAGCACAGCGGATGGAATATCTGGAACACACACACTAATGCATGTACGGACAAGTGTAAAGCTGCCCAAAGCAACTTCCATTCTAATTATCTTAATGACCTCTGAATGCATTTGGTTACGACTGACAAAAGCCCAATTCTTCTAAACACGTACAACAATGTTTCTGCTCAGGAAAGTAACACACTGAAGTATTTCATCTAATAAAAGGTGCACTAACAGTATTGACAAGCATTAGCAATCAGCGTCAGTCTTCATCGCACATCTGCTCATCAGATAACATGAATACAAAACATCATCATTTAGACGCTCCTTCAGAAAAGACAAGAAACGGATGAGTCAGAGGAGATACTTCTGATGTCTGGTTCTCAAGGACGGGGAGCTCGTTACACAGTCGAGCTAACACACGAATATGTAATATGAATACAGGTGCATCTCAATAAATTAGAATGTCGTGGAAAAGTTCATTTATTTCAATAGTCATAATGGTTCATAAAGCTGAAGAGAGGCATTTCTGCACCACAAGCATCACCAAACTCAACTCACTGGTTGAGCTATCACTTAGGAGTATTTGTAGTAAACTGAATACAGTAGGTGTCGTAATATGCAAGTATTGAAAATAATGTGTTTATTATAATACAATAATATCATCAATTATAAATGGCTAAAAAAAAAAAAAAAACTTCTTAAGAAGTGTCTGATAGGTCTGTGGGATTTACCTGATGGTGGGTCGGCCGAGGCCCCGTCACAAACTAATAGAGATGGCAGCATGTTTTAAGGTCATCAGGAGCAGGAAAGGAAGAGAAAGAATGGCGAGACTGTGAGGATAACAGATGATTCACCTTGAATAACTTTGCATTTCCATTACAAATTAAACAAGAGCTGCATAGCAGGGTTGTATGACATGTCAGCAGAGCAGGTGGTCCTATTGGCTGGTCTTAATATTAATGACTGAAGTTGGTTTGATTCAGGCACTTAAAGGATAAGTCCACTTATCAGGAAATGTATATTCTGGAAGTGGACTTATCCTTTAAAGTCAGCAAGTCCAACAACCTCACGGTAACACTCCTAATTTTTTAGCTTTTTTTTATATATTAATTAGGCGAGCCAAATTATGTGTGGTATCTTTTACAAATTTGGTGTGAGTATGAATTTTTAAAAGAATTAATACTTGATAATGTTGCAAAAGATTTAAATTTCAAATAAAAGCTTTTCTTCTAAATGTTATATTCATCAAAGAATTATGAAAAATAAAAGTATCATGGTTTCCACAAAAATATTGAGCAGCAAATCTGTTTTCAACATTGATAATAAAAAGAAGTGTTTCTTGAGCAGCAAATCAGCATATTAAAATGATTTATGAAAGATCAAGATATTTTTTATGAAATCCGAAAGCTTTATGACCCTGCATATACAGCAATGCAACTGCATTTTCAAGGCCATGCAGAAACGTAGTAAGGACATTGTTAAAAAATTATTTTGGTTTTCTTTGAGCAAAAAAAGTATTCTTGTATCTTCATAAAATTATGGTTGAACCACTGATGCCACATGGACTATTTTATCTATGTCCTTACTACCTTTCTGGGCCTTGAACATGGTAGTTCCTTTGCTGTCTATGCAGGGTCAGAAAGCTCTCGGATTTCATCAAAAATATCTTAATTTGTGTTACAAAGATGAACAAAGGTCTTACAGGTTTGAAACGACATGAGGGTGAATAATTAATAGGGATGTAACAATATCAAAATCTCTCGATATGAAGTCCACGGTACGATATTTAGTGAGATATTAAAAAAAAAAGACAAATGAAGACTTCGCTTTGAAACGCGCAGCGAAAACAGAGTTGATGAAGGGATTAAGCCATATTGTGCTTTCGAATTTAGTTTGTTTGACAGATACTGTGCCAAAGCATAATGGCCCAAAACACAACTTTAAAAATATTGTATGTTAGAATAAGTAGTTTAAATACAGTAGATTTAAAAAACTACACTTTTTGCCTGGAAGACCTATCGTTTTATATCGTCATGTGACCACGATGACACCGAGAGAGTATTGCTATCGCGATAGTAACATTATCTCCCTAGTTATTAATGACAGAATATTCATTTTTGAGTGAATAATTCATTTAAGGGTTTATTGTTGTTGTTGTTTGTATCACCAAAAGCACTTGACAATTTTTTTGTAATTAATGACAGAATTTTAATTTTTGAGTGAACTATCCCTTTAAAAAAAATCTTACCAACTCCAAACTTTTGAATGAAAGTATGTATAAAATATTATATCACGCTATGAGTAATGATAAGCACTTATATCACAATAATGGAATATTCACAACATGGTTATTTTTTTGCTGGAAATTCAAACCAAAAACATTTTATATTCTAAATAATATGTGATAATAAAATATCTTACAAATGAAAGGTATTTAATTTCACTTTTTTTTTTTTTCCAAACACATAGATGCCTAGGTGCCTATACTGAAAGCATCAATTTGCTGGACAATCTGCAGAATAGGCAATCGTTTTTTTTGTTTTTTTTTTGTTACAAAGTGGTTTACGGTTGTTTATGCATTAGTGAATCACGCCAGTGACTAAATTATCAATTTCACACTGTTCCTGTTGGCAGCCTGAAAACCATCTGATATCTACACTGTGATTATTTTATATACCAATATAAATAATATTCAATATAATGCCAAAATCAACACTTTTCACAATTAGTTAATCTTGGCGGCTGTTACAGTAAAAGTTTTTACTGTAACACATGTAATGCTCATTTAATGCTCATTGCTCTTCATATCATATGCAGAGATATTAGCCAATCATAGTAGTGGGCATTTACACTGAAGTCTCACAGCAGACACGTCCCTTCCAGCAGAGTGTTCAAATCAGAGGGCTAAAATCAGGGTAGAAAATGACCATTTATATCTAAATTATGATCGTTTTTAGTGGAAAAAATCCCTACTGAAATTGTAAGTGCACCTCAGGAAACATTAAAAATAATAAAAAAATGCATTGTATGACCCCTTTAATGTACATGGGCAGAGTGCAATGCTTACCGGCCGAGTTTGCGGCTGTATGTTCATTGGCTGCGTCTGTGGTGAGTACACCAGAGGGGCGGAGCCTGCATTCTGAGCTGGGTTATATGGAGGCTAAGGAGTGAATCATAGACAGCGAAAAGGTTAGGCAACTTCCTTTTGAAGCATGATATATAGTTTCCATTCACAGCACAGGATACAAAATAGCAAGAGCTCATCATTATCTGAGTGTGTGCATATTGACTTAATTTCTTTGTCAGACAAAACCCAGATGAATACATTACCCTCCAATCAATCCACAGCAACAGAGTTTATATAAAAGTGTCTGTGGAGTGTGTATATATCTGTCCAGAGAGTGTGTGTGTGTGTGTGTGTGTGAGAAAGTCGTGGGATCATTACAGCACCTGTGTCGGCTGGAAACACTATTTATAAAATAGCGACAGTGTTCCTTCAGGCTGGTGGTAACCATGGTGAGGAGAGCAGAGCAAAAATCACTCATAACACAAAACCATAGCACTCTGTATTGCGAGTGTGTGTGTGTGTGCCAAAACATCAGCCGTCTAAATGTAATACACAAGTCTAAATGTCACAGTTAATTCAGACCCAGCAAAGGCAAAGAACATAACTAATTTCTGGTACAAAATAAGGTGACCCAGAAAAACATGGCAACACCAAAATTTAATGAGTTCTCCTCTGTCTTAAAGGGGTCATATGACGTTGCTAAAAAAGAACATTATTTAGTGTATTTGGTGTAATGAAATGTGTTTATGCGGTTTAAGGTTTAAAAAACACATTATTTTCCACATACTGTACATTATTGTTTCTCCTCTATGCCACGCCTTTCTGAAACGCGTCGAATTTTACAAAGCTCATCGTTTTGAAAAGCGAGGTGTACGCTGATTGGCGAGCTATCCAGTGCGTTGTGATTGGCCGGATACCTCAAGCATGTGACGGAAATGTTACGCCCCTTAACATACTGTGATGCCGTGTCCTGGCCGAAGCGACGAGACAAAACCAATAAAACCCATTATAAACGAGGCATTTGTAGCATCCACTGGGGACATAATTACTGATTATAATTACCTGCGTACCTAACTAGTCTTCTACCATGCTACAATCCATCACGCTCCCTAAGGTCGCAAAACTCTGGACTTTTGTCACAACGAAACACACAGCATCTCCACGACATGGCGGCGGCAGCAACAATACTACAGAGAGAATCAGCGTTACGCATTCTTTCGTTGCGTGAACATTTGGGCGGTGTTATGCAAATCTTTTCACACAGTGACGTAGACATGTGAAGGCGTGTTTAAACGAGGTGTTTTAGGAGGTCGTGGACGAGTCTTAATGGGGTCATATGATGCGATTTCAATTTTTCCTTTCTCTTTACGTTAAACCGCATAAACACATTTCATTACATCAAATACACAAAATAATTTTCTTTTTAGCAGCATCATATGACCCCTTTAACTTTTATAAAGAATATCTCTTTGTGTTTGAGACTTTAGTCTTTGCAACTTTAGGGATCTTATCTATTCACAAACAGCTTGTAACACTCCAAAGAGAAAGGAAAACTTGAAATCGCATCATATGACCCCTTTAAAAGATAAAATATCAGGTGAATAAGCATAAAATTGTGTAGACTGTTGTGTAGGGTGTTGGTACTCACCCCTCCACCTGTCTCCCAGCCCTTTAGGAAGCGGTACGAGGGGGCGGCAGGGACCGATACCTGAGAGAGGGCTGGGGACGTGGCATGGCCGGGAGGGGTGCCTGCCAAATTAGGGTGAGTTTTGCTGAGGTCGTGACCTGGGTATGGAGGACCAGGGTGTCTGGATACCTGTGGAAGGACCACAAACAACATTTACACAAAGTGTTCATACAATAGCTCCTTTCAGTTATACATAACAATGTTGTATATTCCCCTGGCCGTCACTTTATTCTTTATTGTTTCCATTTGCATATTTTATATTGTTTTATATAAATATAACACATTTCGTTAAGGATGCATCAATTTAGAAAGTAAAAGGAAAGTAACATTTATGTTACAAAAAAAATTATATTTCAAATAAATAGTGAAGTTTCTAGTTTATTTCTAGTTTATTTCACAATAAAACAGTTTTTACTGTATTTCTTATCAAATACATGCAGCCTTAGTGAGCAAAAGAGATTTTTTGAAAAACATTAAAAAAAATCTTGCCAATCCCAGACTTCTGAATGACAGTGGGCATATAAATAAAAATGTATAATATATTAATTTATATAAATATTTTAATTTTGGAAATGTGCGCAATGTTAAATATATTTTAAATATCTTATAAAGGTTTTTGGAAAGGTTAAGTTTGAATCTGTTCTATTGATAAGTGGTCTTTTTCAGGTCAACTACACTTATGGCACAGCAGTCTGAGGAAAATCTTGCTGTGCAAATTATTTCAAGCTAGTTAAACTGTCAACATGTATATAGCTAGCCTAGACAGATAGTAAAGCATGTATATCAACTGCTTATACTAATAATGACAAAAGAACTCACAGAAAATATGTACAATAGGACCATACACTTTCACATATTCGCTTAAAGTATGTTTCTGGCCTTAGGACTTGTCTATGTATATACATTCAAGGGATGTGTAATGACTGTAAGTGTACATGTGTGTGTGATCACTTACACTGTAGACCGCCGTCACCCCAGAGTGGGCGGGAAACATGCGCTCCTCTAGTGATAGCGCTGCTCGAGGGATCCTGGGAAGGGTAAAGTTAGAGAAAATCTTCCGAATAGGTTTAAAATGTCAATTTTAGAAGCCAAGAAGGTCACAAAATACAAAATATTAGCCACAAGCAAAACATCCAGCGTTGTGTTTCATAATGGCAAGCATTCAGTTCATTCAGCGATAATGGTGCAGACTCTTTCACACCAATTAATATTAGTCAATTTCCTCCAGCGACTTGCATTTGGGGCAAAGGTTCGAGAAAGTTAACACAAAAACATTTTCTCCCTCCCTTCTTCAAAATGTCCAATTCAGTTTTTCAGTACACCCCGCACCTCCACAGGCCAGGAAGATGTCAGACAGAAATCCTGACATGGAATTTCAAATACGTGAGAAGCGGATCAGCGCCCTGTTGGATACAATGTGTGTTCTAATACATTAAACAAATGGCAAATGTTAAAATAAGCTGCAAAATTCCTCAGCAAAATCCAAATACTGTTACTGAACCACCAAAAATGTCCCATCTAAAGTTAATGCACCTCTTTACATATGTTGTTCCATTCCAAGAAAATTATAACAGATATGTTCAGGTTGCAGGTGGTGAGAAAGACATGGGAACCTACAATCTGTATGATATCATCATGGTTTTACCGACAATTAAATGTTGAGCAACATTTACACATCACTCATCTGGTCTTCCCTAAAGGAAGTCTTCCAGCAGGGTGAAAGAGTTCCTAATGAACGTTGCGTTGTCATACCTGCCTGAGGTATTCTGTGACACGAATGACAGGGTCGCTCAGACATACAGTCATAGTCACGGATAGCTACAAAGACGGATGGATGTGACAGAAAAAGAGAAAGAAAATATCAGAAACCGGCTCCGGCGGTTACAATATCTGTCTGTAAGTGAGAGATGAGCAGATCACATGGTTTCGGGGAAAGTGGAGGAGGGCTGGCTTTCCTCCTTCGTGCGCTTCATGCACTCATGGACACTTTTTAGTCTTTCTGTGAAACCCTGCCTTCCGATTTGCGCTCTCTTTCCCATTCTCCCCCCTTCTACCTCTTTGGCCTTCTGCCAACCTAAACTGTGAGGGGAAAAAAGGGGGGGGATGGGGGAAGTAAGAGCTGGGAAAAAACAGCCAGGAAGAGAGGTATAATGTGTGACGAGAGGTTTTTCTTCATTCGTAACAACCCAAAACGAGTATGTGAATGCAGTCTTGCGTGTAGGGAATCTGACTTTGGAAACCTATGTTCCTGGTCATCCTCCTAACCCAAGTTCAGAGAGGTGCACCTGAGGAATGCGGCTTGGGAGACGGCCCACAAGGCTATTTGATCAGGTTAAAACTGACAGCTGACACTCGCGAGGCTCTGGCAGGACACAAGGCACGACTTACTGGAATTACAGGCCGATCTGATTCCTGTGTTCGCAGTTTGGCACTCCATTGCATAACCAAATCCCTTTGCATAGTCATGGAAGTGTTTTGATGGCACGACACGCAAGTGTGTGCACACAGGTGTGAAGAAGTGAAGAAGGAATTTTCCAAACGCGAAAAGTTAGGTGAAACAACATGTACGGAACAGATGTTATGTTTCCAATTCAAAACAAACACAATCTATTCAGTAAAGCTCCATTTTTCTTATGGCCAAAATGGGAACATCAACTCAATTAAGGAAATTTGGGAAGCAAGTCCATTTTAGGGGAATTACGGTTGTACATTGGACTTCTAAAAAGAGCAACCCACTAAAAATTAGTAACATTGCCAGGACACTAATTTTCAAAGAGTAAACTGGGTTTTTGAAACACTGAGACAGTTGTTATTAAGCGTCACTAAAATATCCTATTAGTGTTAAAGTCTCTGGAGAGTGATGGTCCTTTACTCTCTAAACATTAGCTCTTTAATTACTGACAGTAGAACGAGTACAGAGGAAAGCAAAGGATGAGCTGGCAAAACTGTGTAGCCTTAAACTTTCATAGTAGCTTACTGCAAATCCAATTAAGCACCATATGGAGTGACAGATAGAAGGGAACTGTGGAAGGAAGGAAAGAAAGAAAGAAAGAAAGAAAGAAAGAAAGAAATTGAGGAAAAGGAAGGAATGGAGGAAGAAAACCACAGCAAAAGTAAAAAATGGAAAGAAGGGTTAAATGACTGAAGGAAGAAAAGAGTGAAATTAGTAAAAACAGCGGAAGGTAGAATGATTAAAAAAGGAAATAAAAAAGGAAGGAAGGACAAGGGAAGAAAAAAAAGAGATGTTAGATATACCAGAAGTAGATTGTCTACGTGGCAGACAGAGGGTCTACAGCTGAGGGAGGGAGAGAAAGCTCAAGAGATTTATTCCTTGCTAACTTGAACCTCAGGTCAGAATGTGCTATAAAGACACAGTATGATTTTCAGGGCTGTGTACTATGACCACATCTCATGTTATAGCCAAGATATACACATACATATTTACACACATACATACCGTATGCAATGTATGTAATGCACTCTTAAGACGAATATGGTCACTGAGCATATGTGACCCTGGACCACAAAACCAGTCGTAAGTTGCACAGGTATATTTGTAGCAATAGCCAACAATACATCGTATGGGTCAAAATGATTGATTTTTCTTTTATGCCAAAAATCATTAGGATATTAAGTAAAGATCTTGTTCCATGAAGATATTTTGTAAATTTCCTACCGTAAATATATCAAAACTTAATTTTTGTTTAGTAATATGCATTGCTAAGGACTTAATTTGGACAACTTTAAAGGCGATTTTCTAAATATTTGATCCTTATGACTGGTTTTGTGGTCCAGGGTCACATATGTAAAATTCATTAAATGCAGTTCATGTACACTGTACATGCTGCATCAAGACTGTGGCCAACACAAAAACTCTGACAGTTGAGAAACAGAAACCTAAAGGGAAAGTGTCATCGTTTGTTGCTTAATTTGCAGACAACTATACATAAGACATTAGTAGTTCTCCCCAAAATCAGAAACACTGCAGTTTTGTGGTGCTATGAAAACACTGCTTTGTTTTTGACTATCCTGACCAGCAACAATGGCTTAACCAATGGCGTGAGTTTGGGGCGGGGTTATCCGTTTGCCTAACCAATAGCATATGGAGCGTTTGACAAACTTGTGTGAAACCATATTGATTTTTTCAATTCTGTGTGGTAACATCTGTTAGTGCACAAACAAACACTGCACCTTACGGTTAACATGAAATCAAAATGAAACCTTCTTAAGGTCTTAAGGCCTGTTCAACAGAACAATGTTTTTATCATTCATCAGGTGGGAAAAAAAAGTTATTAAATTGATTCCAACGAGATTGTTCTCCTGTGTCATTATCATTATATTTGTGGTATAAACGCCACCAAAGACTATAGAATACCCAAGACGTGTCACTTGTATAGTTTTGAATGGGGAAAAATGCAATATGCAATATGGCTGGTCTATCGAACGAAGCACCGCCTTCTAAGCAAAAGAGCCAATCCCTAATCGGTAAAGTCAGTGCGTCACTGCAGCTGCTGTTATTAGTCTCGGTTGCTATAGAAGCAGTCAGCATTCTGAGATGTGCGCTCAGGACTGCGCATGCACACTGGTTGATCTAGCCTGAGAAATAAGCTTTTTTTAATGGTATTTGAGCAAAATAAACAACATTTATTATACAGTTGTTGTCAGATTTCATTGGTGATTTCAAATATGAAATTTAATCTTAAGCTTCGCGAACAGTTTTGGTGAATTTGATGTTTCCCCATTCAAAGAGATAGGAGCTGCACTTGCATGCCGAGAGGTCGTGAGTGACACGACTTGCTTTGACTCCACTATTATCAAAGAATTAGAACAGTTGTTAATGCTTTAAGTATCATTCTTGGTGTGAATGGGCCTTTACTGTGAATGACTGATGAAAAGTTTATCTTCATAATCTTTCACTAAAATAATAACTTGAAATAATAACTTGATCCACAGTAAGAAAGTAATTTTTTTAAATAAATGAATATTTTATTCAGCAAGGATGCATTAAATTGGTTTCAAAAGTAAAAGTAAAGACTTTTATAATGTTACAAAAGATTTATTTCAAATAAATGCTGTTCTTTTGAACTTTTCCACAAAACTATTAAGCAGCACAACTGTTTTCAACATTGAGAATAATAAATGTTCTTTGAGGACCAAATCAGCAAATTAGAATAATTTCTGAAGGCTCATGTGACACTGATAACTATAAATTTATTCAAAATATATTAAAATAGAAAATAACTGTAACAATATTACAGATTTTACTGTTCTCCGATTAAATAAATGCAGCCTTGATGAGCATAAGGAACTACTTAAAAAAAAAAGAAAAAAAAAAATCTGACTAAGCCCAAACATTTGACCGGTTGCACATTTAAAGGGGTCATATGATGCGATTTCAAGTTTTCCTTTCTCTTTGAAGTGTTACAAGCTCTTGGTGCATAAAGAAGATCTGTAAAGTTGCAAAGACTAAAGTCTCAAATCCAAAGAGATA